CTGGGGGGAAGGATGCTCAACCTTTCTGTTTTCCTGGAGGCATCTGTTACACTGTTGTTATGCAGTGCCAGGTTTGCTGCCCCTCCTTTGTTTTCCTGTGCTATTTTTTCCTCTCCTTTGTTCTTTTCACCTGTAAAAAACCTGTCTTTTACTCATTGTTTAGACTCATTTATTTGCCGGTAGATCTTTTGTTGCATTCATTTTTATTTTAGGGTTGTTTCAAGTTCTACTAATCTCCTCATAATATTAACCAGCTGTATTAATGTGATAATAAACCAAGCTTGTTGGTAATGAATTGATTCATTCAACTACTGGATTTAATTAGAAAGACACTTAACATTCTAGCAGATGTTCTTATTTTGTTTCATTATCCTTGTGTTACCAACAGTGGGCTTATTAAATGTATAGTGTGTATGTTTGTATTTACATCATATTCATATTTGTATTTATATTTACTCTTCAGTGTAAAGCTCTGTTTTGCCATAAACTGCAAAATGACGTGAAACCTGCAAATATCCAAGTCTTAAGCCAATTTGCATGAAATCCTCTCTTGCCATTTAATTTCTCAGTATTCACTAAGTCTTGAGTTTTCGGTTGTATTCTCCATCTGATCATAAATAGCTGCTGGCAAAAATATTTAATCTTTGCAAAAGGAACAAGATTTCTTCTTTCCTGGATAAAAGCCCTAGTTATTGGACTTATGTCATCTTCTTTCTTTCATGACTCTCATTCCTTTTTATCCATCGGCGAAGCTTCAAGAAGGGTGTAAGTGCCTCTCTTTTCAGCACCCCTGCAGTTTATCGTAGGGAGTTCCTCCTCTGCCTGCTGGGTGCTTTTTTGGAGGTATTTGCCTCTGCTGAGCTCTGGCACTTGAACCAAGGCGGCAGATTCCACCCTGGCGCCAACATGTGCGAGTTAGGAGTTGTAATGCTCAGGTTTGGATTTTTTTTGTGTAACTGGACTGTAGTGCCTCCACTGTCTAGTTACGGAGTCTAGTTTATGCCTCAGTGCTAAGTGTGTCCTTCGTTCTAGGCTGAGTATGTAGTTCAGATGTGCAGCCAAAGAGTTGAGCCCGACGATTCTTGCTGTATTTAATGAGCTTTGTAGGCCCACACAGAGAGGAGGTTTTGTGAACTCAAGCAGCAGTGCTGGATGTTCTTAGGAAGCACAGTGCTAAAATCTTAGTATTTTGTTTTCCTGTGTGTGTAATGCTTTTAAAGAAACCTCCTACACTTCACAGACGTGAATTACATGGGACAGTTGAATCTGTTAACCAGCTTTGCATCCTAAAAGAGGAAAGCCCTATTGCACCTTCTTGCCTGTAGCGGTACCAGCTCACACTGCTTGTAGCTGTACCTTCCCTCCTGCTGCCCACACACTTACCAGACTTTTCTGCGAGCGTATTCAATTCTTTACAGGCCAAAAGGAAAGTGAGTAATTCCGTCTGGTTACAAAGTAGAAGCAACTTATCAAAGGATTTGGAAAGCACAGGAGCCAGCACAAGCTGAAGAGCAGTAGTGGGTGCCTGGGAGTAGTGAGGATGAGGTGGGGAAAGACACCCTTTCACATCTTGATGGTAGCAAGCCATTAAACTGACTAAACAATCTGTAACTTTGCCTTTTACAACTGAGCTTTGACGGCCGGAATCTTTCCTTGCTTTTCTTTCTGCTCTTCTTGGACATTTCCACACCTTCAGATTTTAAATAGGGCAGAAATAGGAAAGAATTGAACACAGACAGCAGGAAAGTATGACAGGAGAATGTGAAACATTGCTGCAGGTCTTCGTAGGTGTTAAAAGGTAGACAATTTCAAAACGCACTACAGCAAATCCATGAAAGAAAAAATCTGTGAAATGCTGTTAAAGAGAAGTATGGTATAGCTTGTAACTAAAAGTCTCAACTGTGAGATCTCTGGAAGGCTGTGCGGGCTGCTCACTGTTCGTTTGCCCTGTTTTTGTTCTCTTCCCTAGGTTTCTGCCTCTTGTGGCTGTCACACAGGGTGCTGTTCTAGGTGGATGTTTAATCTGACCCTGTGCAGTTATTCTTGTGGCAGTGCATTTTAAGAGGAAAGCTTGCTGCTTTTCCGTGATTTCAAGTGTCTCTGCGTGTCTCCTATTAGCCCACAGCGATGTTTTACAGTTCAACAGCTTCCTTCAGTACCTGTGATCACCCTGCTCTAGGACAGCAACAAAGTTAGCTGCTTTTGCAGGGATTTGAATAATATGTTTATCTTTATTTGTACTATCGTGTTTGTGTTCTGTGCTAATCCATTGAGTACTGTGCTAAAGGCTGTGCATCTTTGTGCATTTATCCTCTTGTTCAGTGTTTTTTGCAGCAGATGAGACAAGGAGGGCCACATAGATTCCTTTTTTCCCATCACTTCCTCCTTTAAGTGCTTTTATTATAAATAATATCAGCTTCTTCAGTTGCCACAATGGTCCAGTAGTCTCTATTTAAATTAATCTCTTTTAGTGATCTCTTCTAGTGTTACGTAATTTCTTTGGGCATCAAGAACTTCTCCACCTCTGTTTGTTTCTTTCTGCACCTCACCACTAAAAGATTAACAGCTTCATCTTTAAACTTTTCTTAGTGTGCAAACAACTGCTACTTCCAGGTAAATTGCTAAATTGCTCCTTTTTGAGTAGCACTTCCTGCCCTGTATGCCTGTTTTCTGAAAGTTTGTTGAGTCTGATAGGCATTTGCTTATTAGGACTCCTCTGAGTGTCTAAATAGGTCATTGCAAGAGACCTAAACCAAAAATGACCAAAAATCTGCCTAGCTGCTCACTGGGCACACACAGCTGAACAGGCTCAGACTGTTGTCTTAATTCCCTTGGCATCAGAGCCAGCAATTGCCGAAGAAAATTAAGTTGCTCTATTTTTCTCTATAAACACGTTTTAATGATTCTTCGGGCTGCAAAGCAGTACTAACTGTAGGAATTTACAGACCCGGATCTTGCAGGTAAAATCAGTTTCGCTTAGAAGTGCTGGTCTTTTCACGAGAAATGCTACGTCATCGAGGGTAGCAGCTGCAGTTAAAAAAAAAAAAAAGAAGAAGAAGAAGAAATAAACAATCTATACATATCCCAGTTTGATAAAGAAATGCCTGGGAGAAAGGAATAGGCTAAAGTGCAGATAAAACTAGGAGAGAAAAAATGTTAGGCTGTCAACAGCACTCGTATCGTGAGTAGAAAGCTTAACCGTTTCATGGGGCTGCTGTGCTGTTCCATGAGCAGCGCGGACCTCAGGAAAGCTGCGTTTGTTTCCTGTGGTTTTCTGCCCTTTCCACATGGGGCCCTGGTAGCTGCAGCCTGGCCCCGTCCCTGCTGGGCAGCCGTGGGCCCGGGCCCAGGGGGCGCGTGAGGCCTGGCAGGGCCTTTACCGAGGGGAAGAACGAGCTAAAAGGTTACGACCTTCTAAATTATTCTTCAGGTTTCCTGGGTGGGCGAGTCATCAGATTTAGCAGAGCTAAATAGTTAATGCTATATATGTATGAATTTTATAAAGCAAAAAATGTTACACGTTGATTCATGTAGCTGATAAATATTGTTAATTAAATTTCCTCCAGCCTAACACATTCTAAAAATCTTGCTGAACAAAATGATAGAATTGGGGTAAGGCAGGGGGAAATTTCCTGAACTTTCCTTATTGTTTTTAGAGATCTTCAGAAATTTCATGTCTTCCTAAGGTGGTTATTTCACTGTAGGAGTCCAGAGACATGGGGCTCATTCACCTGCTGCACAAGTTAATATTGTGTCTCAAGAGTCAAGAAGAGTGGTGATAGTTTTTTTTCTTTCGTTTTTTAGAGTAAGGAAACTATTTGTGAGTTTTTCCTGTTTGCTTTTGCTGCCCTTCTGCTATCAGAAGTCAGTGTAGTTAAATTTTAAGATATGTATCTTTGAAATTCTTACTTTATTTCCGAGATAGATCCACACGGAAGACTGAAATATGATTTGTTAGGAAAGTGAACACCGCAATTCATTTCCAGACACCTGCAATTCAGCCAGGCTCATGGGAGGCTCCATTAGTTTCACAGTGTAGCTTAATGAATCCACTCACACCACTAGGAGAGCTGAGAAACTTCCACTGCTCCTGTTTGAATGGTAGAGAGGACACATCCCCCAGGCCAGTGTTTTGACTTGGTAGGGGGGAAGTAGCTATGTTCCTGCAGTGTCGTGTGCTCCATCCACCCATTGAAGTAAGGTATCAGTGAGCATGGAGAGCATCAGCTAGTGAGTCCCCTCCTCAGGCTGCTGTATGTGTGAGTAACCTATGGCCAGACGTACAGGATAATGTCATCAGAGGCTCCTAACCATTCCACGTAGGGCGGCTAGGGCGGTCCTTCAGTACACGTGCACTTAGAAAGCGTTTTGGTAGGCCTATGTTTTCACATAGCAGTAATCCTTAGCAAGAATGGCCTTGTGCTTTCTCATAGAAGAATGAGAAGGATCCTTATGGGAAAAAGACAAATCAAATATACAGCCCATAAAAGATCATAAAGTGATTATGTACTGTGCAATAAATAAGAGGATAGTTAGGTAAGTGCGCATAAAAAAAAGAAAATCTTTTCAGTCTAAAGCCCTGCTGACAGTGTGAGGAATGTGACATAGACAAGCTCCATTTTGGTCAGCAGGTAGGCTGGGGAGCTAAAGGAAGAAAAGAAGCCTTCTCATCACTGAACTCCTCATCGCTTCCCTCCTGTCGTGATAAGCAGTGCACTTTGCTGCCTCATGAACTTTGACTTGATTTCAGTTGGGAATTTTACTTGGAGCAGGTACTCAAGCACTAGCCTGTTTGAACTTCACACGGTTCTCTTGGAAATAATGTAATTAACTGGCTTCCAAACATTTGTTGCTAGAGGCATCCATGTAACAAAGTGAAAACCAAAAAAAACCCCTGCTTTCCCAGGTTTTACCTATACTGCCAAAAAGTACTGAGTGATGCATATTTTTCTTAATCAAAGCTAATTTATTTATTTATTTATTTATTTATCTTAGATACAGAGAGTATTTTGGAGCCTCTCTCTCTGCCAGAAAGCCCAGCTGGTGATGCTGCTGCAGAAACCTCCCCCTATGTGCCTTGCATTTTCTGCAAAGAGTGCTACCTCCTAGCGGAACAAAGCCAGCTCCTCAAGCACATGATCATTGAACACAAGCTGGTCATAGCAGATGTGAAACTGGTTGCAGATTTTCGAAGGTAAGGGATTTTAGGCTTTAAAATGGATACATGTATGTGCAAGTATCACAAAAAAAGCTTTAGAAGCCCAGGGATTGTCTTTTTTTTTTAATACTGTATGTTTTTGGAGGGGCGTTTTTTATGCTGTTTTGTTGCTGGATCGTAAGGCTGGTTTCTCCTCACTCCCCCAAGATGTTGCTTGGGTGAGGAGAGTTGATAATTGGGATACAGGACAATTAATGTGTTAGAAAATGTTATCCATATCATAGTGACTTTTCAGATCCTGTTATTAATCAACAACTTATGTACAGTCTTAAAAAACTGTTTATTTTATAACATATATTCTAGACAATCAACTCTTCCAATTTTGGTTTCGTTAAGGTCAAGACTATTTCTACTGCTGTGCAACTTCCCAAAGCTCTGTTTTGTAATGAGAAACTCTTCAGTACATGAACTCTCACATTCCTGGATAAAATCCATTTGCTCCATCTCAAGGATGCCAGTGTTTCACCACAGAATGACATTTTACTTCACTATACTTTACAGTGCCATGATCCATGTGGAGCTGTGGTTCCTTCCCCAGCTGTGTCACTGAGCGTCTCAGCAGGTCACATTTGCCTCCCTGTCTCCTAACTTGCTCCGTAGCTGGCCCAGGCCCAGCTGGCAGTGCCAGCACCAGCTTGTCTTTGTGTTTTCATACACGACAACATGTGCTCCAGTCACGAGGCTGGATGGTACCGACAAATTTGTAGCTAGCTCTGTTGCAGTGTTAACTTTAACTACCTTATTTACTGACTAAAGGGCATTTTTGGTAGGTCTTCTGTGATTAGAAACTCAGCCAAAGCCAATAACTTGTGTCAAGAAGCAAAAATGAAGGATTGAGATGAAATTTGGGAGCTGTAAGCCGTATAAGCCCTTATTCAGAAGTATGAGCTTAACATCGCTTAAAATTGAAAGTGGACACTGGCTTTTTTTGTTTACTTTTATGCTGAAAGCAGCCAGAGCAAGAATGCAACGTTCTTTGGCGATAATGCGAGCTCCCTCAGGTAAATAAAAGGATCACAACTGCTCAGTAATGGAACAGCAGTTTAACTGTGCTTGGGGGATTATCCTGGGTTAATAGAAATATGTTTTAAAATCACTTTTTCAAGAAAATGTCTATTCAGATTCTTTTTGCTGCTAATGCAACTGGAAAGTAGCCAGATCTTAAAGAAGTTGGCTCCAGGATGAAAAATAGTGGAGCTGTAACTCTGGGGTCTGCCTTCACTTAACCACAGTGCTCAGTATCAGTAGAACAGTCTAGTAACCACACACACACACAAAAGAAAAAGTATAATCTGAGATGCTAAACAGGAGGGTGGGGCATAAAAATCAGAAGACACTGGCCATGTGTTCTCTGTCCCTTGGAACATGACTAGGAGTTGGCTTCATATGAGTAAGCGTTGACTCTTTGCATTAGATATTTTTATATAAAATCCTCTAACAATAAGTTTCATGGCACAGAGGTTAAGGTCAGGTAAGACTTTTATCTCAGTAGTGTTCAGTGCTATTTCAGTGCAGAGGACAGACTAAATGGCATCTTGAATTCTTTTCCCTTGCAAGTTTATGTCCTAAAAACTCAGGGAGGACTTTTCCTGGAAGACTTGCATTTCTGTGTAGCAGCAAAAATATTTCATCGTGTGCTGATCGCTGGAGCAGGCAGGGGAACAGCAAAATGCTCACCCTCACCAAAATGATGCCTCTGAATGCACTGCAGTCATTCATGCTACCATTAGCTGTGTGCTGTGCTAGAGGTTAAGCTGGGTCAGAGTTAGCAGACAAACGTGCTGATTCCTTGGCTGCTGTATTTAAAGCTCTCATGAATTAAGATAAATCATAGAGTTAGTACGAACCACTACAGGATCTCTTAGCTGTTGGAACTAAACTCTTAGTTTGTACCAGTCTGAATGCCTATAACTGTATAGAAATAAAAAAATATATAGAAATATAAAAAATGGTGTCTGAATTTTTATGCTTTTTTTTTCCCTAAGTTGATGGTATGTCAAAAGAAAGCAGTCTCTGAGTAGCTGGCCTTGATCTTAAGAACTCATATGACTGATATCCTGCACTAGTCGTGGATGTAAGGATGGCCATGCACTTACACATGTGCAGATTTTTTTATAGTAAGATTCTGAATAATTAGCTCAACAGCTGCTTGGTTCCCTTCTCATATAATTTCAAGTGATGGTTTCTTCTTGATTAGGCAGTAGCTTCTAGTTCAGTGGGACCCTAATCTCCGTTGGGAATCTGTCAATGCTGCTATAGTACAAAGATTATACAAGCAAGGGGTTTTTCTTTGTTTTTGTTTTTTGTTTTTCAGCTTTATTCAATGGATTCAACTTTGAAGACGTATTTAGGGCCTTCCTTATTTTGCCTGCTAGCCCACCCCGCCTCCAGGTGTTTGAGGATTTCATTTTGTTGACTCTCTAGTTGTCTGCCAAGCTACTGTTTTCAGTGTAGTTCCACAGGAGAGCTGTCAAAACCTCACTTTTGACAAGTTTGTTTTTTCACTCAGTTTCAGTTTCTTGTCTGCATCTTGCAGAACACCACGCACAGTGTGGTGGGAATTGGAGTGTCCCCCATAGCACATATTTTCAGTAAAAATGCATCTGGGTGGCATTTCTGTCTAAAGATGTGAATAGGTCACATTGTTTATATAGAACTTACGGCATATATTTTTTACTGATATCTTCCCTTGGTTTGGCATGGAAGCTGAACCCTGTTTTAATGAAACAGAATAAATTTATTGAACAGAAAAGTACAGAGTAAAGGAGGAAAAAATAGACAGGGATTTTAAAAAGAAAAAAAAAGCACAAAAAAACCCAAGCACTCTAAGAATTTAAAGGATGAAAAAAAGGAGAAGCGATCTACTGTTTATGAAACTTTTTTTTTTATGTTCCCTGCTTTATTAATTCTCTGCTCCTTTTCTTTAAAGATACATCTTGTATTGGAAGAAGAGGTTCACAGAGCAGCCCATCACAGACTTCTGCAGTGTCATAAGAACAAATTCAGCAGCTCCGCTAGGTAAGTATCTTACCTACTCTCCATTGATCAGGTTGTGTGATAATTTATGGCATGTGCTGCTGCTTTGATCGAGCTAAGCATGAAGGAATCTGACAGTAGGTCAGAACACCCCAGAAGTCACATGTGACTGTTAACCACGTGTCTAAACTTACCTTTTCAATAGGATTGCATTTCAGCACTGTGCTGAGTGAGGTAGGGCTCAAGTACCTTCTTAATTGCTGCGGTGAAATGAGGCCAGATTGTAAGTCGAGTCCTATGAGCAGCGCTGCTCCACACCATGGCTAAGGAAGCCATGGTACCTACTGCATAATAAGTGGTGACAGTTTTTCCAGAAATACGGAAACACATTCCGAGTGATCTGACTTTCCAAATTCACCCTGACCACCACCTCCCTCATGCTGCTACCTCTTCCAGACACCCAGGCCACCACCATGATCCCTTTTTCCTGTCATTACATTTGCTATTGTCCCAAAATACTAGGAGAAAACATCTTCACGTTACAAGGAAGCCGGGCAGTTGTCTGGGCTGCCGCAGAAGACCAAAGACTGTACTCAACAAATATGCTGCTGTGACAAAATATGGCTACTAACTGTTTCTTAGAAAAATAGCTTAAAAACCCATATTCACGATAGAATTAAGCTCATTTGTTACTTTCATGCTGCCTTTAAACTGTGACCAATATCAATGATTACACTTGCTTTGATGGCGCCAGAAGAACCAACATAAAAGAGAATAAAAGTGGAGAGAGGCAAATCTATGCTACATTTTGCCCATTGTACTACAATATAAATGATGTAAATACAATTCAGTTTAGGATCAGAAGCATATGTGTAATTACTGACAAAGGCTGTTAGATAATGTGTAAAAATATATGTATAAAAATACTTAAGTATGTTTCATTAAATTATGAAAATAAAATAACTGATTTTTTAAAGTATAAAAAAATCATCTAACATTCTGAAAGCACCCTGAAGGTTTAACAAATTACATGCCTCAAATATTCAAAGCAAATATCTTACCCTTGCTTCCTAATCTCCTTAACAGAAGAGCAGGACAATTATTTTCTCCTATGTGATGTTCTACCAGAAGACAGATTACTTAGAGAACAGCTTCAGCAAAAGAGGCTGGTAAGGAATTGCTTTATGTTGTGGGGTTTTTGTTTTGTTTTGGTTTTTTGAGATAGTCATATCTCAAGGTATAACTTAGGAAAATTCACTCTTTTAATTTGCTGACTGAAGTACAGTCTGCCATGCTGGATTGGTGAATGCTCAGAAAGTGCCACCCATCCTTTCCTGGCTCTCGCAAAGAGCTGTGGTCGCTCTGCCACTCAGGCAGGCCCGTGGAGTTGCCCTTTCCACAGCTGCAGCCCCCAGTCCTGTGTAGGTCCTTTGGATTATCATGGACTAAGGAAACAGCAGCTGATGCACCTGCGTGTAACACGTTTCTGCTGCAGGTCATCATAAAAGGCATGATCCTCGATCAGTAAAAAAGGGTCTCCTAGATCAATAACTGATCCTTGAGAGCAGCAGTGGCTGGTGTATTTTTTTTACCCTTTTCTGAGCTGATAGGTCAGAACTGGAAGAATTTTAACTGATTCTTTCTCAAAATATTTTCCCAGTTCAGACAACCAGCAGCTGAAGAGTTTCATGGGCCAACAACATTGTACCTGTACACGCTGTGTTAATAACACAGCCTTTTTTTCTTGCCAACCTCCTATCGTTCCCTGAAGTGACATAACTCCTGACATTCCTAGCTTCCTGTGGCAGTGATGCCAGAGCTTACCCACACCTTTCATGGTGTTCATGCCTTGCATTGTGTCTTCCCTCATATCATATCTTCCAGGCTAAAGATGCTGACTGTTTAATGGTTCTCCATCACTGCAGCTCTTTTCTGTCCCTTTTCCAGTTTAGTGCAGTCCCTTTGAGGCTGTCAGGAACACCCTGCATATTGTACATGCACATGCAGTGTCCCAGTGAGTTTCTTCCTAAACATATATAATGCTCTTTGAGACTGTGGGCTGAGGTGGGGGGAAGAGGGTCATTATTGGCCACACAGCTAATGTTTCCATAGAAATGTCTGTTTGAACAGTAACTCCTGGCTGCTGCACATGGGGCTGTACTTTTTGCTTTTTAAAGGGCATGTATTTCTGGTTTTGCAATGTTTTGCACTACACAGCTTTATAGCATCTGGGCTTTCTCTCTACTGCCTGTGTCCAGGGAGCACAGATTCTGTTGGCAGCTGAGTCACCCCATCTGCTCTGGAAATAGATGTTTCTTCAAATTTAGAGTGGAGCACAGGATTTAGCCTAAAGCAAGTGCTGTTTTTTGTTTACAGCATAATTAAGTTTGAAAAAAGACGCACTCTTGTTTATGGGGGAGAAATAGCCTTTGTTATTAACGCTGTTTTAAATATCAGAATTCTATCTCCAGTTTTACAGAAGGATTTTGTGAAATTGAGCGGTGACTATAGCTGTGGTCAATGAAATCATGGCTTTAGTTACAGCAATAAACTCTGTTTAGTTTTTCACTTCCTTTTGCAGCACTCTGAGCGTTGACTTGCAAGTTAAATAGTTATTTTGCTTTGTGAAGTCTTTTACCTCCAGGCAAGCCCAGCAATTAAGAGTAAGCTGGCAAGTGGGCCTATGTGGGTTGCATGGAATACAGACCAGAACTGTACAACTTCTGCTGATTTTTCTGCAGACTGAGTCCTAACTGGTGTCTCCAACAGCATATGCCTAACAAGGACAAATGTTATCTGTAAAATATGCTAGCTAATGCATTTCAGTTAGCAGTTTTGAAACTCCAGTTTAGGAGTGTCTGAGGCTGCTTGCAGCAAGGGAGCTGGCCCGGGTGAGTGGTGTTTTCAGACATGATGGTGACTATAATGTGCTGAGAGAGAGCAAGGAATGAGCCTGAACTCGGCTAGAGTGCACAGCTGATGAAACAGCTGACAAGGCCCTGTAACACCAAACAGATACAGTCTTCTGGGAAAAAAAAAAGAACATAGTCTTGAACCCCAGGTTGTCTCAAACACAAACAAAATTGGAACTGTGCACTGAGAGGCATCAGGCTAGTCTGAATTGGTATAATGCAACACCTAAAGTGGTTACAGAACCTGTCAACGTGTTATTATCTCCGCATCTGAAATTCAATAGGTACTTCTGTCACACCACTACAGCCATCCCAGTTCATCATTTCTGCTTCGCATTTAGAACCCAAGTTCTTCAGATCAGACTGCAGTAGGATAAGGCATCGAAAAAACACATATTCTTCATCTTCCTAAGAGGCAATTTACCATACAACACAGCAGTCAGGAGCAGGCAGGGCCTCAGAGTTTTCACAGTAAACTTGCAATACCCCTATTACAATCCTGAGACTCTTGCAGAGTTATTGCAGTACCAGCTAAGTTGCAGTTCTGTCTGTACTCTGGCATCTCAGCCATTTTGCCACAGGATCTGTGGTTCAGTCGATTATCCTTTTTTTTTCCTTTTTAAATTCCATCTCCACCACCAGCAGCATCTTCTCTCCAGTTTCCTGTTTTTCCAATAGGTTACAGCTCTTATTTCTCTCTGGGTTTTTGTTGCATTCAAACCTAGCATAAAGGTCTTCTCATTAGCTGACAAGCTGATTTCCTAGTGTGCTCTGCCCATTCTTTGTCAGATGTGTTGTCAGGTGGACTCACCCATAGCCTTTGTTTCCACTTCCAAAGGCTGGTGATCCTGAATGCTCTCCAGTACCTGTCAGTCTAGGTCTGTGCCTTGACCTCTGCCAAAGGGATTCAGAAGGACAGCACCCTTTCCCTTTCAGACTTCATTCTCCCAGACTTTGTGTTAGCTTCTCATCTGAATTTCAGGAATG